TGGTCTGTGCTCTAGTGAGCAGTTTTGACGAGCTCTAGGGCATTTTCGGCACAAATATCGTGGGCTCATAAGAGAGAAGCCACCTTCCCAGATTGCATCCCCTTTCAGCTTAAAATTGTTCTATTACTAAACATACATCATTTAAGCACTGATCAAAGAAACCCCTGTGGCACAGAAACATTGATTCCTCTTGTTATGCCTCACCCTGTTCATAACCCTCATTGAATCTACAAAGCCGGCATGGCCAGGGGATGTTACAGCTCCAGTATTTGCCAGGGAAAAGTGTTTATCCATCCTTGTGCATATAAAACATTTCTGCCTGATGAATCATTAATCTGAGTTGTGTACCCTGAGTGAGAAGCTTTCTGCCAGGGCAGAAGGATGTGGTGGAAGGGGAGAGAGTTGTGTATTAAAGATTTGCCATACCTGGTGGGGTCTGATGTGAGTTTTGGAAGCTCGGTGCCGGTTCTGATTTGTGGTGCCTTTCAGCTGGTCCTGGTTTCAGCTTCACTGAAGTAAAGGGCTGAAGCTTCTTTGCCAGAAGTACTCGGCCGAGCAGCCTGTGCAGATCACAGGACATGGTGACATGACTCTTCCAGTGGTCTTAAAAAAACAAATAAATCTTTCTTGTCATGGACTGTATCTCTAAGGTATGCTAAAGCAAAAAGGATGAATAACTTTTCTAAACAGACTGGATTTTATATCAGGCCCTGTTTGCAGTGTTCATATATAAGGACTCAGTGTACAGCTCTTGTGCAAAAACTTATTACTCTTTTTTTATGCAGCAGCAGCAAGAATTCCTTGGAGAATCACCCAGGTTCCAGGCTATAATTTTGTAGTCGTGGTGGTGTTGTCTGTGGCTAACTGCAAAGGTTTGGCATGCTGCAGTTTTTGTATTGTAAATGGGATTGTACAGGCACTGATGGCGTCCAGTGCTGTGCACGTATGTCTTTAAGCCGTTTCAGGTCAGGCAGACACTTTCAGATTTGACTTTTGGAAGGAGTGCTTCTCTTTCCAATCTCTGTATTTGTTTCAGTATTATATTTTCACCACTGTTATGAAATTAGGTAGTTGTTCCTAATATTTTCCTGAAGGAAAAAAAATACTATTCAAGCAACTAGCATCCTTTCCCCTTAGCTCAGTAACTGAAAGGTGGGGGGAGGTTCCTTGCAAATGCCCTTTTTTTTTTTTTTTTCCTAATGCCTTAGTTCTCTTTAATGTTTTAGAGTTGGAAGAAGTTGCCAAAATGTAAATTATGACTAGCATACTTTTCCCTCCCACACAGAGCAGATTATTGGTAGCGTATATAACTGGTTCCTCGTGTAGTTGCCTTGCAGGCCTTCTTACTCTACTCATTTGTTTAACATGCCTCAGCACTCTCTGTCCATCATTCTGTCTTCTCTTCCTGAAGAACTACAGACATGAATGTTTTCTTTTGGTATTCACAATTCAGGAGGGGAATGCTAGCTAGAAATCATATATAGCTTTAAATGTAGCTATATGAGAGTTTGTATAGAAAGAACATGTTATCTATGATTCCCATGTTATTTTCTTGTTATAAATTTATGCTGTATTACTAAGTCATGCTCAGCATGCCTGTTTGTAGTACTTCAGTTGCTCTATCTCTGTTAGGGCAGCTGTGAGCTAAATATTTTATTGGAACCAAAGAAATTCTCTAAATCAGGCTGCTGTATGGACACAAGTTGCTCTTTGTGGTTATGTTCTGTTCCTGTAAGTTCTTTTGATGTCTGCAGAGTTTTGCCCCAGCTGGATATGCTATTTTCTCCATCCTGGAGACTGCAAGTAAAGAAAAAAATAAGAGAGCACAAAAAAGAGATAAAGAGAATAAACAAGCTTTGCAATAAAGAGATATTTTGATCTGGGTACTTCATATTGTTTCTTATTGGTCAAACCTCTTCCATGAATTGAGAGGGTTAGCAATGCAATTTATTCATTTTCTCCAAGGGAGAGGCTGCATTTAATATGTGCTCTCCAGGATCCCCCGCTAAAATATTAGGCAATAAAGTCCTTGACTGTACAGTAGTTGTGGTTATAATTTCCCCCAGGTAGTGGGAACTCTGTAATTTATTGTTGTTTAAGTTTTCCCTTTGCACCGATCGCAGTGGTGGTAGCAGTATAAAAAGGCCTGTTTTTCTCCAAGCGCATGTATTTGTTGGTGACCCAGCTCCTCTCTCTGATGAGCTCTGTGCTGCAAAGCCCTCCACAGTTGCTGACTTCGCATCTAGGAGAAAAAATACTGGGTTGGATCTGTTCTAACCAACTTGCTTTGCTCCCCCTTGGTAAAAGCTGTGGCTCTGCCTGGGCTTTGAGTGGTTTTGTGATGTGGAGATGGATACCCCAGCTGGTCCGAACAGCAGAAGTGATTTATGGTGAGCCCACTTACAGTATTGAAAACTGCTCTTTAATACAGACACACCTTTCTTCAGTGATGTACCTTTAATGCACGTTGGTTAAACTGGCTGAGCCAACCTGTACTGAGAACAGGCTTACCTGCCGCGAGCCGTTGGCTCCTCCTGACATTTTACGACCGTCTGCACTCATTGACGTCGCAGATCTTCATGGCATTAGCTGGGACTGGGGTACTCTGAGGTTGTAAATGAGGCATGGCTGCGGGGGGGGTGTGAGATCCTTTATTTAGACTGGCTGAGAAAGCTGGAAAAAGCAGGCGGGCTTGGAGGCGTAGACGGGCTGGCTGAGGCTCGCCTTGTTCTAGTTTTAGTTTAGCAAGCACAGGCATCACCTTCCTTGGAGAGGAGGGAGCTCAGCATGGCAGGTGCCTGCAGATGGGCTGTGCTGGTGCCCAGAGTCTCCTCATGTGGGTGTCCTTTGCAGCACCCTGCTGATGCACAGGTCTGACCTGCCTTTTCTCCTTCGTGGACTGAAGCCCTCAAACATAGGGGAAAACATTCTTAGAAATGTGATGCCTCAGAAACCTGAGAAGAACATGGAAGAATTGCCTCATTTGTTACTATTTTTTTAAAACTTCCTGTTTTCAGCCACTGTGGTGAATTTTGAATGTGGGGGATCAACAGAGTTGCTGACATTAGGGGAGGCAGCAGATGGGCACCTCCGCTTTCTGGTCCTGCATCGCTGTTGGGAAGAAAGCAAGCATACCAACCTGCCTGGGCTGAACACAGCCTTCCTGAATATGCTGCTAAATCCAGATCAGGAGATGTTTCAGTTCCTTTGATCTGAAAATAATTTAGTACCTGAATGGATTTATTTAGCACCTGAGACTGTGTTTCAGCCTGGGTGAGGGGTGAAGGCTTGTGGAAGAAGGGAGAGGTGGCTGATCCCCTATGCTGCAGGTAACAACACCAGGCAGCATTAGAAAACACAGGTCTTAGCAACTTCTGGAGCAGTGAAAGGTAAAAAGAAAGGTAACTGGTTCTTCAGGCAGCCCTTGCCTCAAATGTGTGGGCTTCAGCATTGGAGCAGCAAAGATAACATGTTAACTTCATCACTGGTGCAATGCTACTGGAATAAAAGTTATGCCGTGGAGAAACTCTCCTTGCATCAGCCTGTGGTGGGCTCTGTACCGGTGCCGACTGCCTACTGCATTTTATTAGATGCTGGAGTATGACGCTATTAGCCAAAAAGTAAGGGAAAAACCAGGAAGCTAATGATTAACAAACATAAGCTGCTATCAGTGAGCATCTGATTTCTACCATTGTCTCATTCTGCCCTTGCGGATCAGACTGCCACAGAAAGGAACTTGCATTGTTATATGAATTTTGTAATTCACTGCATACAAACGGCGATGCCAGGTACCCTGAGGAGGAAGCCCACAGTGTTGAATCAGTAGTGCAAGAACGTGTTTGGTGGCTTCTTATCTGACTAGAGTCTAAAATGCAAACATTCAGCAAACTATGTGTAATTAGAGATGATATGATATCCTCAGTCTGTGTGTCAAAGAAGTCTGAAAACATAAGAGACTGATCCCTGGGGGAAGCCTGTGAAAGTGGGTTTCTGCTCCCTGAATGTGAAGGGTGAGAACGTGTATACTTTCTTTCCTGTGGCACAACACGCCTCCACGATCACAGCCCGATGCGCACACAACCGTTGTGCAGTGGCTGTCTTCCAGACCTCTGTCCCAGCTAGCTGCAGTGCTCTTTAAAACCACCCACCTCGTTCCATCCACAGCGGGGGCAGCCAGATCCCCAAGCGCCCGGAGCCAGCTGGGTGCTGGGGTATGGGAGCGGGGATGGTGCTCGCCACAGGGCAAAGCGGTTCTTCCTGGGGATGCTGCTGCACTACTTTCCTCAGCACAAGCTTTCCTTCCTTCCTTCCTTCCTTAGTTTTGCCCCCTGGTGTTTTCCTAACGTGTCATGCCGACCCAGGGTATCAGAGTCCTTCTTAAACCAGCGTTAGATATATGAGGATAATCTGGTAGAGATATGGCAGCTGAAGAACCTTGTGCTTCAGGTGTACTTAGTGAAGAAGGATTGAGGTGTGGGAAGGGAAAAAGTCAAACATTTCCTTTTTGGCTTTTTTCTTTGGCTAGAAGGAGTGATTTTATTTGAGATTTTTTTTTTTTTTTAATTTAAATTAAAACCTGTGAGAAGTAATATTGCATCTTCAAAACAAACTGCTGAACTCAACTGCTTTTACCAAATGCATGCAAAATTTTCCCCTCAGGATCCTTAGAGGCCCTGGAGTGCCTGCCTTGCAAAACCTGGGGCTGTGAACAGAGTCACTCAAGAGCGAGCTCCATAAGATACCTTTAGACACTGTGCTTACATGTATTTATAAATATATATATACACGTTTAACACACAAAATTCTCTTCTGGTAAGTTACTGCGTAGGGTAAGCAGAAAGAAAAGTAACGCTGAACCAAGATATTAAGAGACACTGCCCAGATGGTAAACTCTGAAAAAGAAGAAACAAAGCCCTCCAAGAGGCACAGACAAGCAGTTTTTATTATCAGCTTTCTCTTTCCTCTTAATACATGTGGTTATTTCTTTGTGATCATTTCAGATGCCTCAGGAACAGTACGCGCACCGGAGCACCATGCAGACCTCGGAAGGACCCCAGGTATACAAAGTGGGGATTTATGGCTGGAGGAAGAGATGCCTCTATTTCTTTGTGCTGCTCCTAATGATTTTAATCCTGGTGAACCTTGCTATGACCATCTGGATTCTGAAGGTTATGAACTTCACAATTGTAAGTAAGGGTTACCCTGAAAGGTTTGGGGAAGATGAGGGAGGGTGATGATCTTTCCTCTGAACATGACTTCAGATACGGCTTCGATAATGGGTTGTTTTGGTTGCTACGGATGGTTGTTATTACAGGGAGGAAAAAATTTACCCAATGATCCTTTTTTTCTGCTGGACATGTCTGCAGTATTGCCAAGATGAGGAATGAGCTCGGTGTTGCAAATGATGTTCCTCCTACCTGCTATTTATATATACATGTAAACATGTAAATGATAGACATGTTTTGAAAATTAATTTTCAATTATTAAGTGTTTTAAAATTAATGAAATACGTTTTTTTGAACTGAATTGTGGGAATGGGTTTGAGCCTTTCTCCTAGACTTTTTCTGCTTTTTGTCATGACTGGAAAGTTGAGCAACTGGATTTGCCTTTTTCTTAGGGAAAATTCATGTTGTTTCATAATGACATGGGTCCAGAAGCTTCATGAAGAAAAACTAAAATTCCAGGCTGGCTCTCTGGGTATGGTGTTTAGGTGGAGCATATCTTTATGCTTGTTGTGCTGTGGTTGGTGCACATCAGTCCTGCCAGCAGCACTCTCTTGCTGCACAGACCCACTGGCCAGGGTTAGCTTTCCAGAAACTCCTTGAAAAATATTGGGCATCTGTACTGGGAGGTAGGTTGTACTGGGTCAGATGGGCCCTTCTGGGCCCAGAGTGCTCTATGCATCACTTGAACTCTGTTCAAATTCTTTTTGAGATCTTAAGGGGTACCTTGACCTTGAATTGCCTTTTTACAGTGTGAGCTTCACCTCTCCTGCTCAAACACACTGAAGGTCAGGACATGATGAGCCAGGCACACTCCACTTCCAGGGCTAGTGAGACTTTATATATGGCAGGTCCTAGTTTTTCAGTAGATAATTTGGCAAAGCAGAATGAAAATTAAATGACTGGTCCTTTGTTCTTCAAAGCAATAATTGCCACCTTGGTCAGATGGAGCTATTTTAAGATCATTCGAGTCTTCAGGATAAACTAAGTTTGAGGCTTTAATCCTGGATTTACTTCATGAGAGAGCTGTAAGGCTGAATTCCCCTAGACTGCTTTGAAGGACTTTCCCAGACAGGTTCTGATGTGAGCAGCATGTTTGAAGTCTCCCGGCATTTCTTCCTCTGCTTGGTCTTGTGAAGCCCTGAACAGCTGTGTCCAACATTATGTCATTAATGGGCCATGAGAAGTTGAGTAAACAATCTCTGACTTGCTGTATCCAGCAGACAAAATGCTGTATCAAGGGAACATGTAGCATTCATTTTCTCTAACCAGGATGCTGTCAAGGTGTTCAGAACATTGCAATGCATGTGTGCTTAGGGAGCAAGCAATTATAAAGCAGTAATCCACAAAAAGCTCCTGTGAGTGGGTGAAGAGTGAGCCAAACTGAAGCAATTAAAGCTTAACCAGACCAGTTATTTAATCTTGTGAAATTGATGCCATTTTGATACACATTTTGTGCTGAACTGTGGACTTTAGATTAATGTAGTTGAAAAACAGGAATTTCTGAGGTGATGGAAGACTTGGTCACAGACTCATCATACAGGCAGTGATGTCGGCATCAGCCCAAGCACAACATAATGGCATTTCAGATTCTGCCTTTTCAGGAATGAAACGTTATTTCTTTAGAATAACAGAACTTTGGTACATCAGTCCCATGTTTTCTGCTGTTTGGTGGTGGTGGGTCAGTCAATTCTCTAGAAGTTGCTTGGGAAGCCAGCTGAACTTCTCTGCTCCAGTTGTCCCTCAGAGCCCTCTCCTGATCCATTGCATTTTGCAGGCCATCAGCAGAAGGATCAACTCCAGGGATATGTACAGAAACCTCCCCTTCCAGCAGCTCTCTCCACCCAACTAGAATATACACTAGCTTTTTGGAGGATGTACAGATCTTCAAGCTTTTGTCTGATTCTGTTTCCTTAGTCCCTTGCCCTCTGATTCACTGGGGGTTAGCCCATGGTAAAATATATTTTTATATGGGTTTAGTTAATTCTTATCTTCTAATGTTAGTGGGCGATGAACAGCATTTAGTGATAAAAGCACAGACAGTAGCACTGAATCCTGCAGCAGGAACTGCTTTATGGTTATAGGCATGGCCACGCTAGTCAGGGCGTGTGTCTGACACAGCCAACTGGAAATAAATATAAGAACAGAGCATGTAAAATGTGATCCTTGCCCCGATATGCACCCATTCATCTCCTGATCTCCTGCTGCTCCTGCAGCCTCTCCAGCTGCTTTGGATCCTGCTCAACAATGCCTCCCGCACCATTCCCTGAGGCTGAGAAAGCCACTTTGCTAAGTGAATTTTTAGAGGCAGACTTTTATCTCTAAATAACAAATGTAAGAAAATTCTCAAATGAGGAGATGCAAATATGGAAAAATCTTTAATTTTTTCCTGTTCTGATAAGAGGAGCTGAGAGTCCTTCTGGGGCAGGGGAATGATTCAAGTACTCAGTAAGCATTTTATTTTCAGAGCAAAAAAAGGAGGGAAGTTTTTAGTTCTGTTCTTGTGAAAAATGTAGTATTTCCAGTATCTTCCCACCCCTGAGCTCTCCTCCCAGAACCTGGGTCTGTTCAACTCCACAGAACAGTCCTGACACTTACCAGAATTTAATGAGTGCTCATTATAGCCAATAAGTGCTCACAGTATTTTAATGAGCACAGCAAACCTGCTCAAGAAAACTCGGGGGTGTTTTAAATGCCGGTAGTGGGGAGTGGAGAAGGGAGGAGGAGATGAAGCGAGATAATCTCAGGGGAAAAAAACCACCTTCTCATGCACATTGTAGCAGCATCCATCCATTCCACTTCCACGTCAAGCCCTGACCTCCCTCTTGCTCCCCTCTGCATGCCCCACTGGCTCATGCTTCAGGAGACAACCCCTGTAAAATTAAACCGTAGGCTTTCAGTCTCTGGCTTTTAATAAGCAAGGTATCACTAATTCATGCTAGGTTTTGCTTTTATCTGAATGTTCAAGGCTTAAACAAATTTATGTGTGGCTATTGCTTTTTACGCAGGGCTGTCAAAGCAGCGTCATGTCCGCGTGGAGCCAGTTGGTCACTGCCTAGTCTGTCCTCTGGCACAGTTATTCACTTCTCATGTAGTATTTGATCCTCAGTTTGTTTTAAATTACTTTATCAGGCACAGACTGTATGAAAAAACAGACCTTGAGGGGGCCTCAGATGTCATCTGCCTGTCCCACAGCTGGTTCCCATAGCCAGGTCCATTTATCATGTTCATTTACATCAGGGCTGTGCTGCTGTGGGGCTGCGGGAAGCTCTGTGAAGGTTGCTACCTCCAAACCTTACTTTGATTTTTAAGCCAAACCACGAATTAATCTGAACCAAAGCCACTAAATTGGGTTGAAACCCAAATGCACCCTGAAGGTGACCTAACCTAATTAAGGTAGAAACCACCATCCAGCACTCAACTTTTCAATGATATATAGGTAAAGAGAACTGCACTTCATTCAGATCTTAGACAAGCCTAGTAGAAGTACATACTTTGTACATAGTGGCTTTGGGGAGAAAACACTAATGCCTGTGGGCTGTGTATGTGACTCGGCCACTCAGTCTGCAGGTCCAGTCTGCGTGGTGGAGGGCTCAACCTCAAGCTGCACAGAGCTCATCTGAGGCTGGCATAGCCCCTGCAAGGGTTCACATGTGCCAATCTAACTACAAGGGTGGAACCAGAGCTCTTAACGTTCCTTTTTATGGTCCGCCTGCATTAACATCCAGTGATGTAGCTCTTTAGCAGTAGGATTGCCTGTGACTGTAGACACAAGCGCATGCATCTTTTATGTGTATGCCTACGATGTGCTGGGGATCTCTATTTCAGCTATTACTGGTGAGCTTAAACTATTTTTAAAAGCTTCCTGTTGTATTAATTTCTGAATATTACAACAAAGATGTGTTTACATAAACACAGTGAACCAGTATCCTTATTTTAAACAGTACAAGGCTCAGAAGGCTCAGAAAACAGTCAACGACAGTGCATTGACCTCTTTCCACAAGGGTAACATACAATGCCTGGTATTTTAAACAGTGTTAGGAGTCTACAACATTATCCATTAGTACCCTTTTATAGCCTGTTAGGCAGCAGGAAGACATCTCAACAGGAGGGATGAGAACTGTCCTGTTGTGGCTGCATTTAAATGGAAAATTCCCACCTACTTGTCTGCCCATCAAACCACTGAAGACCCTTTGCTTTTCCTTTGCCTTTCCCTGGTGTTTCTATCCATAGGTGTCTGTCCACATGTTTGGGTTTGTATGCTCTCTGGGACAGAGCTGTTTGCATGGCATCCTGTAGTCCTGTATATCGGCAGGTTCTACAAGACTGTAAACAATAATAAATGGAAAAATAACATTTTCCCCCTCATCAGCTTGCAAGGCTTGAAATTCCTGGAGAACTCTCTTCTTAGAACCATCCAAAGCAAATAGTTTTTTCTAAGGAAAATAGTCTGCAACTCTGGTATACAGGAGATCCTTTATGAGCCAAACATCACGTCTTCCTCCAAGCCGGGAGGAATCCGTGCAGACTGCTTGTGCCATCTGTGCATGCACCTTCGAGGAAATGCAATGTAGAAATGGGCAGGCAACGACCCACCTCATTCCATCTTCCGTAGGATTCAGAGAAGGGGGATATTCCCCTCCTGGCCTGCTCGGGCTGAGGTTGGGGAGCTCCCAACACATGCAAACTCTGTGTTCTCCTTCCAGAACCACTCAAGGTTTTTTTGAAGCTTTGTGCCCTTTAGCATGAAGTTCAGTCATATTTTATTATTTTAATTTAACAGGAACAAATGACTGCAATTGTTCAGATTTCTCCTTTTTTGCTGCAGGCTGGATTCATAGCTAAAGAGGTATGTTTTAGCATTGTTGAACGAAGCATTAGCAATTTAGAGAGAGACAAAATGCTGCTGTAGGTGGCACAAATGCTAAATATCATTATTATCTTGCTTTCTTTATTAAAAGTTG